GCTAGATCCCAAATCAGCAAAGACAACGAAGCAATAGTCAAAGCCTGGATTCCCAGAGCACTTGCTTGCTTGCAACGATGGTCAGTTTCAGATGTCTATGGCAAGTGGTAGCCTCTGGTTCTTTAATCAAACACCAACCTGGGCGTTCTCTGAAGATGTCTTCAGCAGCTGACTTCATCAAGGTAGTCGCCCTCACTAACATTAAATGGGTCGTACAAAATCAGGAGGAATCCTGTGAGAGCAAAAATCCAGATAGGAAATTTTGCATAAAGACTGAGGCATTGATTCCTGCCTGGGGTCCCAGCCTGCTCCATACAATTCAGTCGCCATTCCCGCAGTGGTGGGAGCCAATACACAATCCCACAGCGACAGGTTGGAAAATGTTCTGCGGAATCTGTGTGTGTCTTAACATTCAAGATGCTCTGCCCTGGCTCAGAGGAGTCTCACATCAGTTGCCATGATTATCCCTTGAGCTTGACGATTTCAGTGGCCCTGCTATGAAATACAGGGTGTTAAGCAGGGTGTTTGTGGAATAAAGACATTCTTAAATCCCTTTCCCAGTTATGCCAGTAGATAGCAGTAGTTTGATACAAGATGATTCAGATATAAGAATCCTTTTCTGGCCACGTGTTTAGGAACATTTTATCTAATGAGTCTGCTGATTGTAAATCCCTTTTTGGAGATAAAGACTAAGAAATCATTAAAAATTACTAATATGAGGCCTGGCACGGTAGCCTACTAGCTAAAGTCCTCGCCTTGCACATGCCAGGATCCCATATGGGCACTGGTTCTGATCCCGGTGGCCCATTTCCCATCCCAGCACTCTGCTTGTGGCCTGGGAAAGCAGTCAAGGATGGCCCAAAGCCTTGGGACCCTGCACCCACATGGGAGACCCAGAAGAAGCTCCTGGCTTCTGGCTTTGGATCGGCACAGCTCTGGCTGTTGCAGCCACTTGGGGAGTGAATCCTCAGACGGAAGATCTTCCTCTCTGTCTCTCCTTCTCTCTCAATGACTGTCTTTCCAATAAAAATGAAGATAAATCTTTAAAAAAAATTCCTAATATGTCTCTTGAGCAAGTCTGAGCTGTTGTGGGATTCTCATCTCTGACCCTATGAGACAGTTGCATACATAGACACTCTGCAGTGCTCACTTAATTCATCTTCTCAAGACATGGAACCTGTGGGCACTGACTAGGGGGAGGAAAATGTGAGCCCACATCAGCATGGCCATATGACCTGGAGTGAGCAAGGCCTTGACGTTACTCATGGGCTGGGCGAGAAGGGAAGTGCGATGGGCCGTGTGATCCTGTCATGTGCTGGGCACTACTGCCTTCGTCGTGTCCTTCACTGAGTGCTATTCTAGGTAAAACGTCTTCCCTAGAGCCTCTTTCTGAAGAAGGGTATACCTGATGTGTCTGCTGAGGTAGAACATCCCCAGCTGTTGACGGAGGGCTTGTAGGCATTCAGATAGACTGTCTCAATTTGGGAGCTTCTTCAGAAAAAGGCAGTTAGAGTCGCCTGACTCTCTGGACTGGAAACAACTTCCAAGTTGAGTTCAGGATTGCGGTGGGATTCTTTGCGAGGGTTTGTTACAGCATTTAGAGCAATATCCTCGTGAGTTGCTGTTCAGAGGATGTTTCCTTTGCCAGCCAAGCTCCTGGCTCCTCACATAAGCTGCCCTGTGGTTCCTGGAGGTTTGACTGGTATTGTCAATACCTGTGGATCAGATTGCCCGGATGCAGTATCATGTGTCACAGGTACGCTTCGCCCTCCTTACACCACCCCATAACTGCATCTCACCCCGGTTGTCAGGACACTAATGGAGTTCTCACTGATTGTTGAGGACTGCTCCCAGGTGGCCTGGTTCCCCTCCCCACCGGGGTCTTTGGAGCAGTCATTAGCTTTTATCAAAATCAGGTGATCCCAGCCAAGGTTAAGTGTAGCTTGGTTCTATGAATTAAACTGCCACTCCTACCAATACATATATGTACAAAAAAAAAAAAAAAGCAAAACCAAAAAACCCCCAAGGGCCTGTGTCTGTTGAGGAAAGAGAAGATTTGCTCACAGTGCAGGCTGCAGGTTTGTGCACTGCCTTCTGGACAGGCCAGCTTTGCTATGGTAGGGCGCCACCAAGGGTCAACTCATAGAGACTCACGCATGGCAAACGGCACTGGCATGCCCTGCATGGAGAGGTGATTGAAACACACTAGGTGGTGAGAGTGGTAACTTTTGGTGACAAGGACAGAACTTTTGGCAACAAGGATATCTCTTCAGCTGGCGACTTGTGAGGTTTTCTGTTGTAGCCTAGACCGATTTCCTGATCCTCAGTTGGTGCTGAACACATTTAACTTATCATGTATACACCTCCCACTCAGAGAACAGAACTGATTGCCTTTTATCCAAGATGCAGGGAGAGGCTCTGTCTTGTTGGCACCTCACCTGAGTGCCACTCTAGGGGCACTAACCTACTCAGGCTGTGATGTGAGTAGCAAAGCGGAACAGTACACAGCGGTTAGCTTCCTGGGTTTTTTCTCCCATCTTGCTCTCTCCTCTCCTGCAATGAGCCCTTTTCGGTCAGTTTCCTGTTGTGTTTGCAAGCCTCGGACCTAGACCACTCATGCCAGGCAACACACTTATGGCAGCCTCTGCTGCTTCTAGCTCCAGTCCCCTGCTTTCTTTTTGTTTTGATTGTGCCTGACGCCTGCCCATTCTCTAACCCTTGTAGGCTTTTGCTAGGAAGGAGTCAGTCGGTCCATGCAGGATTGCTCTCCGTCTTGTGTATGAAGTTGCTGCTCACAGCTCTTCAGGAGTGCAATTTTTTTTTTTTTTTTGCAAGGAAGTTCTTGTCGGGGCAGGGTATGAGGGAAGGGTGCTGCTTTTTGTGTGCTTTTTATGCTTTAAAATTTTCTTTATTCTGTTTGGAGGCACACAGAGAAATCTCCCATGCATTGGTTCGTTCTCCAAATGTCCACAATAGCCAGGGCAGGGCGGGACCTTGAGCTGGGAACTCAGTCCAGTTCTTCGATGCGGGTGACAAGAACCCAGACACTCCATGGGGAGATGCGGGTGATGTAACCATTATAGCAAAGACCCACGGGTGCCCATGGCTTTTGTTGTTGTTTTGCATTTCATTCAGCGTCAGCTTTTTCACCGTGTTTGAACGTGAGAGTCACACGGGGAGCTTTTTCCGATCCTGGTGACCCTTCTGTCTGCAGAATGGTCAAGCCAGAGAATCTGGGAGTGGGACCCAGGCATCACCACCATCTTCTAGAGTGATGCAGTAGATGACTGCTCTGAAGGCAGATAACCTCCCAGACAAGTCAGATACCCTGAAGTGAGACAGGCCTCCATTCCAGGTCAAGGAGGTTTGACTTCACAGCTGTAACGACAAAGCTTTCTAACCAGCAAGTAGATATTTGTCCACAACATACTACATACTAAAACAACACACACACACACACACACACACACACACACACACACACACACACAATGAAGCAAAAACATAGCCTCACTTGTTCTTATTTGTTTTGGCAGTGTCTTATTGGAAGACCTAAAGGGTTAAATTAGTTGTTACACAAACAAAACCAAATATAACCATTGCAGGAAAAAAATATACGTTCATTGTTGTGTTAGTTCCAAATTTAACACAGGGTTCAGAGAGCATTTCTGGCTATATTTTTAGCTAAGCATAGAACTCTGGGCCTGGGAGACATTGAGGATTTTAAAATAGTTTCTTACCTAAAAATATACTTCCTGAAATGAACTTGAGGCCTGAGAGGGATGAATGGGTTTATTTATTTTTTCTTTTGGATTTACTGTTACCACAAGAAAGCAAATCTTAAATTTATGTGTGCTCATATTTTTAGAGACCCAGGAAACAGGTGTTACCCCTAAGTGACAGAGGATTGCAGGATACAGTGTTAGTGATGGGCATTTAAAATTCACAGAGCAGGGAGGGAGTGTGGCTGGATATGGTACCTGCTCCTCTGAAGGCAGGAGTATCCCCAGCACAGGGAATGCACGCGAGACTTGGATAATGCCTGTGCAAGGGTGATGCTTTGCAGAAGTACCTCTGGCTCCCATGGGCCAGCCACTGACCCAATGCCATGTGCAGTCTGTGTGCCTGCCTTTCCTGATTGTGGCATGGAATATGCATGTTATCTCATGTGTGTTGATTGAATGCCTGGCAGCCTGACTGAATGCCTTACTTCGCTTGGCCTCCTGAACTATGACTTCAGTCACCCATGTCCTTTCAGGTAATCAGTGATGAGGAGGGAGATTGGAGAGGAGGCAGTGGGCAGATATTCCAGGTAGAATCAGCTTTTATTTGCCATCCTGACTCTGCCTCCCAGTGCTTGGGATTGTGCCGGGAGGGCCTCAGTGAGCAGCCAATGAGATCCCTTAAGACAACGGGCAAGTCAGATCTCATGGAAGTCGTCCCTTGCCAAAAAGGTTCTTGAAGCTCTTGGATGATGAACAGCAAGGTCTGGTGGAAAATTTCTCCTTTGGGCTGACCTGGCTATGTCTGTCCTTTGTGACAGTTTGGTTGTAACCTTGTGTGTCTTTGGCCCAGGGCTCTCCTGTCTGGCTCCTCCATCCTCTGTACTTCCTTCACTATTTTGGGTTACCAGGCTCTGGTCTGTTTCCTAGTCTGCTTGCCCAGTTAACCTGCAATTTCCTTAAGAGTCATTTGCTTTGTGTTCCTAGGGCCCAGCACTATGCAGTGGGCCAAGCCATGGTTCGTTATTGATTGATGAGTGTTTCATAAAAAGGAGTCCAACACTAATCCCTCGCAACCAAGGTCACATACAATGGCTTCCATTTAAAAATAGCCTACATGAGGGAATTCAGATCTGATGTAAAGAGGATATTTCTCCTTACTGTGTATTCGTTCTCATGACATAAAGTTCACTTGAAATTGCATAACATTTTCAGGAATTCTTTGGCAGGCTGCCTGGCGGTTGGATAATTCTCCACTGTATCTCTCTCTTCCCCCAGTTAATAATGACATGATGGTCACCGACAACAATGGTGCTGTCAAGTTTCCGCAACTCTGCAAGTTTTGTGACGTGAGGTCTTCCACCTGCGACAATCAGAGGTCCTGCATGAGCAACTGCAGCATCACATCCATCTGCGAGAAGCCGCACGAAGTCTGTGTGGCCGTCTGGTAAGGCAGCCTCCTGGGCGGTCATTCTTCCCTCTCCACTCTGAGGAGGAATGTGTGTCTGCCACGTGAGAGCCCAAAGCGGGTCTTCGGCTCTGTGAGTGAATCTGTGTCCCATTTGCATTTTGCTTCAACTGCTTCTTTTCCGTTTACTCTGTGCAGTTTCCGGGAGTAGTTAATCCATTTTCCAATAGACGTGCATGTGTCTGTAGGAGATGGCTTTGGAAGGGTTGTAGCAAAATGCTCATTATCTTTTAATTTCACTTTCTATGAACTATTAAAAATGCCTCCGTGTGTGTATGTGTGTGTATGAGAGAGAGAGAGACTATAGTTGAATACTTACAATAATAATACAATCCATCTGGAAGTACTTCTTTGTATTAATAGCAGTGGGAAGCAGGCTTTTGCCTTGGCAGTTAAGACACCAATAGTGACACCTGTTAGCAACAGATGCTTGCTTAAGGTCTCCACTCCCTTCCACCGCTATGGGGAACCCAGCTGGGGCTCCCAGCTTTCAGCTTCGGCCTAGACCCTGCCTGGCAATCGTGGACTTGTGTGGAGTGGACCAGGGGAGGAGAGCTCCTTGTGCCTGCCTGTGTCTCTCCCCTTTTCATCCTTTTAAGCTAATCAATAATTAGATGCTAAGAATGTATCCCACTTGTCATCTTACTGATTCTTCCTCAGGACCCCATTTGTGGCACCAGGAGCTTTGTTTTTTTTCTGGGGGAAGGGGCAGTCTTAGTTCTTTATTGTAGCAGAAGTGGAGAAGAAAAGTTGGGGGTGGGAAAGCACCTCCCACATGAGAGGATGCTTGGGGAAAAGGAACACTGGACTGCTTGTTCAGAAACCCCAGTTGTAGCCCTCATAACCACCAAACTACACGAGACTCCTGCTCTCCACTGTCTTCTGTCTCTTTCTCATTATCTTACCCCCTTCCTCCATACATGCACATGTGTCATTCGTTCTTGTGCATTGCTTGACAAACTCCTGGATTATGAACACAGAAGCATAACAAGGAATAAACAACCTGGATCATTAAAGAGATTCCGATGTTTCCACTTTACAGCCTTTCATTTTGGGGTTAGACCCTATGTCTCCTAGCCAGCTGCCCAACAGGTGTCTGAACCTAAATATCTTGCCTTCTGAGAGCTTCGCCAGGCCGCATGTGTTTAGCCTTGATGGAGTCTTTGCAGATTTCCATATGTTCCAAGGGTTGAACTGCTTTCTGAAGAATTAAAGGGATGTGAACAACAAAGATGCAAGCCTGCTGTGTTTCATGCATATCCAGGTTTGCCAATGCTTTTGAGTAAAGGGGCTCTGAAAAAAGTGTGTGCTCAGAGAAGAAAGCTAATGTGATCAGAAGTTTGGACCATGTTGCACTCAGATAGTGGCTAGGACACCTGAGCTCTAAGCAGAAAGAAGATAGGGATTCAACTGGGAGAATGGGAGAGACTCAAGGAAGATATTGTATAGCTGTAAAAGCTGGCACTTGGCATGAGTACATCCTGTGCCAAGTGCTTGTGTAGCACTCCCTACTTCCGTTTCCTGTTCAGCTGCCTGCCAGTGTGCGTCCTGGGAGGCAGCATATAACTTAAGTGCTTGGAGTCCTGCCACCCATGTAGGAGAGCCTGATGGAGCTCTGAGCTCCTGACCTTGCCCCCACACTGGCTTGTGCGTGCATTTGGAGGGTGAACCAGAAAATGGAAGCCCTCCCTCCCTGTCTCTCCCGCTTTGTGTCTCTCTTTCGAATCAATTAACCTCAAAAGAAGAAAGGGAAGGGGTATTAGGTGGAAAATGAGCTCTCCTTTACTGGGACAGTCCAGTAAATTTCAAGATGGGCTTGGGGATCTCAGCAACAAAAAATGGAGTCCCTATACCAGACAGCTTCAAATTCTTCCTCAGGTAGCCCTGTTCTCTGTTTGTTGTTGCTGTTAAGATTTATTTGTTTGTTTGTTTATGTTTGGAAAGGCAGATTTGTAGAGAGAAGGAGAGACAGAAAGATCTTGCGTCCTCTGGTTCACTGCCCAAATGGCTACGATGGGCAGAACTGAGCCAATCTGAAACCAAGAGCTCCATGTAGATGCAGGGTTCTAAAGCATTGGGGGCATCCTCTGCTACTTTCCCAGCCACAAGCAGGGAGCTGGCATGGAAGTGGAGCAGCTGGGACATGAAGTAACACCCATATGGAATCCCAGTGGTTACAAAATGAGGACTTTGGCCACTAGGCTACTGGATGGGAAGTGGGAGACAGGCAGGTCATGAACTGGTGCTCATATGGGATGCAGGTGCTTGGAGGTGGAGGATTAGCCAGTTAAGCCAACATGCCAGCCCCTATTGCTCTGCTTTACTTAGATACCCACTGCGGTGTGCGATAATACCCACCCTACAAGTCCAAGTGATTTAGGTTCCTCTAGGCTACAGTCTTGGCTGTTCTCAAAACTGTGAGTGTGCAGGGGTAGGGAGAGGAAAGGCCCTTGCTGCTTCTGCCTCCCTGCCACAAGAATAAACACGATAACCGTGGCTTTGACCCGTGTGGGCCCCATGGAGTGGGGCTTTTGGTATTGATATCCCATATGGGACCAGTGTGAGTCCCAGCTGGTGATAATGTGCCTGGGAAAGCAGTGGCGGATGGCCCAAACCCTTAGAGCCCAACATCCGGTGGGAGACCCAGATGAAGCTCTGGATCCTGGGTACAGCCTGGCCCAAACCCAAATAATGGGGTCATTTGGGGCGTGAACCAATGGATGGAAGATTTCCTTCCCCCAATCCCCGCTGTAACCATACTTTTCAAATAAAGAATATTTTTAACATTGTTTATTTTCATCTGTTTTAAAGGCATAGCAACAAAAAGACAGAGGCCTTAATCTATTGGTTCACTCTGTGAATGTTCACAACCATCATGGTTAGGTCAGGCTGAGGCCAGGAGCCAGGAACTCCACTGGGGCTCCCACATGGACGGCAGAGGCCCAAGCATGAGAGCTAGGACCTGTTCCCTCCCAGGTGCTTTGGAAGGAAGCTGGATTGGAGGCAGAGAATATAGGATTAAACTAATACTGATACAGTCCCCTAACACTGGCCCCAGGGACAGCTAGCCAGTGCACCCCAGCCTCAGAGCTTCCAGCATTAGGCAGAGGCTGTATCGACAAGCCTGCAGGTACTGCGTGGTGTTGCAATATTCCCTCTGTTCACTGTGGCTCTCTGTTCCCTTGCTGGGCTTAAGGAACCCAACATGAAAGCATTAAGGCTACCGTAACTATTTCCAGGAAGGCCAGAGTAGACATGAGGCTACTTTTAAAAATAGCCAATGTGGAAACAGAATGATGTTACCATTTTAAGGGATCCCAGTGCTTTTCGTAATTCTTTTTTTTTTAATTAATTTTAGTTTTCTTGGTATTCATGTGTTCATGCATCCATTCATTTAGATTATACCAATTGTGTGCCACTTCTTTGTAAAATGAATCTACTTTTGCTAAATCGGAAAAGTAGTTTGGAATAAAAATTAATTTCATTATACTGTTTCTTCTTCCGGTGGCTCGGAGGAAATGGCACGGGATAAAAAGAAGTCTTTATGTATTCAGCGATGTTTTACCTTCCTGTGGTCAATTGTGTCCAAGGGTGTTTTTTTGTAAATGTAGCTCAGCCTGGCAGGAAGCTGGTATGGGATGGATGGAGAAAGCGGATAAGGACTTTACCTAGGTCCTAGTTTTAGTTTTCTAATTGCTTTCTTTTTGTGATCTTACTTTTCTGAGTAACTAAGAGATAGAAAGCAAGCCCGGCAGAAATTACTGAAAGGGCTGCCCAGTAATTACAGAGGAGCTGTATTTCCTGACTCGCAGTTTCTTCCTTGGTCTCCGGAAGATAGGCAAGAAGGAGGCCCATGCTTTATGCTGAGTGTGTCGGAGATTCAGCAAGCATAGCCACATAGCTTGCAAAGTTCCTGTTCAGGAGTGTTGGGGCGAAAAATGGATAAACATTTAAGTCTGCATCGTTTGCTATGTGTTCCTGTACATTTTCTTTTCTTATTTTCTTCTTCCTTTTTTTTTGCAGAGATTTATTTCATTTTTATTGGAAAGGCAGATTTACAGAGAAGACAGAAAGATATGTGCACTGGTTCACTCCCCAAATAACCATGATGGCCAGAGCTGAGCCAATCCAAAGCCAGGAGCCAGCAGCCTCTTCCAGGTCTCCCACACAGGTGCAGGGTCCCAAGGCTTTGGGCCGTCCTCGACTGCTTTCCCAGGCCACAAGCAGGGAGCTGGATGGGAAGTGGAGCAGCTGGGACATCACTACAGGTCCAAATGAAGGATTCTGATTGTTGCCCTGCCGTAACAGGAGGAACCTTCTTAGCAAGGGCTTGTTCCACTTGTGCCTGCTGGAGGCTTAGCTCACAAGCCCTTGGACTCTCCTCTGGAGAGAAGCCCACGTGCCACTGCCAAGGTCCAACATAGGCGCAACGGGGTGGTAATCACTGACTCCATTCCTGCTCTGGCTGCTCTTCCCTCACTCTCAATCCTGCTCTTCCCGTCCCCTTGTGGTCCTGTGGTTCTGCAGCATCCTTGAATTCAACAGTGAGAAAATGGGCCTTGTCAGCCTTGCCCTTTCTTTTCTGGCTCTGCACTGCTCTCTGTTTATGGACCACAGAGATTTCTTAGCTACTTCTTGGCTTCTTGCTTCACACATTTTCCTCACTGTGAGCAGTGAATTTGTGTAGGGGACTGTGTGTGTGTGTGTGTGTGTGTGTGTGTGTGTGTGTGTGTGTGTGTGTGTGTTGGCACATATATGTGCTCATTTCCATGCATTCAAGAGTCCTTCTCAAGGGAGATGACACAGGCAAAGCTAACTTGACACTGACTTTGTTTAAAGCCAAATTAACCTCCTTTTGGCTCCTCTTCCATGTAGAGGAGGTTTGCCTCTGAAAAGTTGAGATGGAGGGTGTCAGACCCAGCCCCATGTGCCACATGTGGGACAGTGGCACATTTATGACAGAAGCAATGGGAAATGGGGAGAGGGTTGATGCCTTTTTCCTGGAATGCTGGAGTTTCATTTATAATAAGCCTTTGCTATTGTAATGGTGAACATTAATCATGTCATTTTTAAATGCAGTGTTCACCTAGCACCCACTTAGAGCATTTCCAAGGATCCAGAGAAAATGCTAAGTTAGTGTGTGAGCCCTTAGCCTTATTAGTCTCCCAATATGTGACGTGTAGGAACAGTCTAAGTAGAAATGATCAGTTGATGAGATTATGAAATATTTCCCTGAGCTGTAAATGACAAACACCCTTCTTCCCTGTATTTTTTTTTTCCTCCTCCACTGGTCGTTTCTGTCACTAGGGAAAATCCAATTTGTTATCTGGGGATGTTTCTTTCCATTTTCTTGGCAGAGCCGGCAGCTGACAGGGAGGGCCCTGTGACCCAGCAAATGGCAGGAGAGGAACTGTCCCTGCTTCCCAGGCCTGCTCGGTGAGAACAGGCTAGCTCGCCGGAACCCTGGCTCTGCTGATGAACTAGGCGCGCTCAGCAGCCTTGCTATTCAGAATACGGGACTACAATTATCCACAGAAGCTGGGAATCCTCTTTATTCCCATGACTTCCCCTTCACGATTTTTTAAGAAAAGATTTGGCTATCTGCATATGTATATGTTTGAAAGGCTGAGTGATAGAGAGAAGGGGAAATGAGAGAGAGAAGATGAAACACAAACTCCCGTTTCCTAATTCACTCCCCCCATGCTTCCAGCTGTCAAGGCTTGGGCGGGCAAGTGGTCAGGAACTCTGTTGGAGTCACCTACATGGAATGTTGACGCCATCCTTTGCTGCCTTCCCACACACATTAGCAAGAAACGGGATTGGAAGTGGAGCATCCAGGACTTGAACCCATCCTTCAGTATGGCTTGCTGGTGTCCTGGGGGATGACTTAATACCTTGAGCTATACACAGTACTGATCTTCTTAAGAGCTTTTAATAAGACTAATTTTTCTGGCAGTACAGTCCGCAAGGAACGCCATCAGTGTGCTAACATCTGGGTTCTGAGCTTGAGCAAAGGGACAGGAGACTGTTGAGCAGGATGTTGGAGATGTCCCTCCTGTGTGTTCCTTCATCCATTCTTTCCCTCTCTGCCCTTGTCACCATGAATCTCTGCGCTCCAGGAGGAAGAATGATGAAAACATAACGCTGGAGACTGTGTGTCATGACCCCAAGCTCGCCTATCATGGATTCATGCTGGAAGATTCGGCCTCTCCAAAGTGTATCATGAAGGAGAAGAAGGTGTTTGGCGAGACTTTCTTCATGTGTTCCTGTAATACTGATGAATGCAATGACCACATCATCTTCTCAGAGGGTAAGGTTTTTGCTCTTGCAGTTGGGCCTGCCTCCTTCTGTAGCTCAGGAGACCACTTCTCCTTCGGCAGGACGGGAACCCGTCGTCCTGGTGGCAGGGGGGCTTGGGAAGCAGCAGGGTTGGTTCTGCTCTTCCCAAATCTGGCTCACCGTTATTTGTCTTTGACACACTGGTGCCTTTCTAGAGCAATAGCTCTCCAAGTCGAGTGTCTGCAGAGGATGGATCAGCATTGCATGAGACCCTGTTAGAAGTGCAGGTTCTCAGGCCTTACCCTGGATGGGAAAGGGCACAGGGATCTGTATGCTCACAGGCCCTAGAGGTGATTCTGATGCAGCCAAAATCTGAAAACCACTGCTATGGAGATTTGGGAAGGGCACTGATTGGTCCTGGAGGGAGGACATTGGATTCAATTCAGATGATTTGGCCTACATGTTCCTAAAACTTGTCCCAAGTGCACTTGTTTTCAGAGTTATATAATAATAATAGAACTTAAAATTTCAATTAACAGAATAATATGTTGTATCATGCTTGACTAATCTAGCAATCCCCCGCTGGTAGCGTATCTAGGTGTCTCCAGTTTTGCACTTAAGGTTTTCCTAAATGTTTTTTTTTTCTTAGATCTTGTGCTTCTGTAGATTTCTGCAAGATGGATGGCTAGATTTGAAATTTCTAGACCTAAAACCATGCACATCTCAAATATGGGGAATCACTGCTAATTTCCCATAACCTCCCCAAAGAGACCTCTGGGATTAACTGTGCCCGCGTGGGATGGCAGCAGAGCAGGCAGTGGCTTAGGTCGGCCCCAGTTCACTTTCTAAAAGAATTCCAAGGCGTGTGTACAGACATCTGCATAACACAGTCTCCTTCTGTGTCCTGGTTGGTTTGCAATGGAGGAACTTATTTCAAGCCAATGGATACATGTTAATAAGCGAGTTGCAAATGTGACATTGCTGAGTTCAGTGTTTGCATACTTCAGTTCAGGTGATTGCCGCAGTCATCCGTACACATTATCCCTCCGATTCATTGTCCAATGACTGTTTCTTTCCTTATGAGTTGGGGTCATTGCCATTTCTCGTGTAGACTCAGGAAATGCCACAGAGCCTGTGACTCAGATGTCTGGGTGTTTCCAGAGACTTCACAAGTATCCTGGGGTGGGTGGATGGGGGCGCTTGCCATTTGAACATCTCTCTTCTTTGCAGTAGAAACTTCTACCCTCCCCCTGCAATGAAAAGCAGCGCTTATTGGGGGTAAAATTTAGAGTTCCAATGTTCCTCTTACTGCCACTGCTTTTTCTTTAAAAGAGCAAGAAATGAAATCTCTTGCAGCCATCTCAATTTCCCTATGCCACACCAGACACAAGGCTGGGAAGTGGAGTGTCCTGTGTTGTTCTAGCAGTCCACAGCTACACCACGGATGACAACTGCTTACACCTTCTGTTTGTCTTAAATATGTAAGGAAAGAAAGTTGAGCCACACCTTTCTCTCTGAAGTGCAGCTCTTTTATGAGCAGTGCCACTGTTGCTGACAGCTGATGCTCAGAGGAAAGCAGCTATTATGCGCAGTGTTCCTCACACCGTCTCCGCCTTGTTCTGCCTTCATCCCCTGGCTGCCCCAGGGACACACACCATGAGTATCCCTGTATGTAGATGAGAAAACCAGCCTTAAAGAAGCATAAAGAAGCCTCTCTCCATCCATGATGAAGCAGCTAGTAATTGGCAGAGCTAGGATTTATAATGAGTTATGGATAGTGCTAAAACTTGTGAGCAGGCTAGCTGGCCTGCGGCTATCTTTTCTTCCCTTCTCCCTCTCTTCCTCTGCCTTCTTGCACTCTTTCTCCCTGTCTTTGTTAACAGATTACCTGTGCATGCGATAAAATAGTTAAATGCTATAAAGTAGGGTGTAGTGGAAAGTATGTGTTCCTTTTAAAAAAAATACATTTATTTATTTGAAAGGGAGAGAGAAGAGTGCCTTCCTTCTGCTGGTTTACTGCCCAGATGGCCATAACAGCCAGGACTGGGCCAGACTGAAGCCAGGAGCTTCTTCAGGGTCTCCCATGTGGGTACTGATGCCCAAGCACTTGCCACATCCTCTGTTGTTTTCCTAGTTGCATTAGCAGGGATGTGAATTGGAGCATCCGGGACTAGAACCAGGGCCTGTATGGGATACCCAACGCTGGCCCCAAGTATTCCTTTCAGTATCTTCTAATCTCTGTGACCCTTGGGCGGGGGGCATGGTTTCCAGTCAACCATGCATCCTTCCAAGCACCTTTCTCTGCATAACATTGTGAATAAATCTGGAATTTGTTAAAAACATAACACTGATTTTTTTTTAAGTCAGATGCCTTGATATTTTCTTTACATGAAATAAAATTCACCCTTTTAAAAAGTGCAGCCTGCTGACTTGTGACAATGGAATACAGCTGTGTGGCCATAGGCGTGCTGCAGAGCATGAGCCCACGCTAAGACTATGACCACCCCTTTGCAGGCAACAAGAGGACCTTTATTATTCGTACTTTAACATTGTGGTTGTTTTCTTCCTGCATTTTGTGAACTTCCCAATGAAAATTATGGCCTTCAGACAGCAAGGTACTGCGGTGTCCTTGAGCCTGTGCTGACACCTGGGCCTGTCTGACACACAGGGAAGAATGTTCAGTCTCTGTGCCGTCTAGCTTGCCTCTGCCGCTGCACGTAGCTGCTGGGTGAGGCCAGGCAGGTTAGTTTAGGGTAGACTAAGGTCAGCTCACCTCCGCTCCTTCCGGGCTCCTGGAGGTCTCCACTGTGGTTGTGGTCACCGAGTAGATGTGCTGAGAAGTCTACAGGCAGGCAAGGTGCACGGAGACAATCCTTCCAAGGCCCAAGTTCAAGGGAACTAGTTGTTGAGAATGATGAGGACGAGCAGAGAGGAACCCAGCAGTCTGCCTGTTCATGCCAGAGCCAGGACTACGTGTAGCTGTCTCCTCCCAGCTCTGGGCAGTCTTGTTTCCTAGTGGGTTTCAGATCACCTGGCTTCCAAGGGCATTAGCAGTAGGGTTGGAAAAATACTTTGAGAATTGAATCGATTCATATATGCCAAGTGCTATGACAATGCCCAAGCAACCATTGTCTGCTATTACTGTTCTCTGGGCTTTGCGCAGAGCGCTGGGCCTGGTGCTGGCCTGAAGCATATTGCCTGGGTGTGTGACTCCGATGTCTGCCCTGGCCTGGAGGATTTGTGGTGCAGCTCTGACTGCCTATGAGTGCTCCAGCAGTGTGTTCAGACCCGGGAGGAATGGCCCCACAAGGCTCTAGGAGGGGCTTACCTGGTTTGGCTTTCTACTCAGTTCATTTGGTTTTTCGTTTCTCTCCACATGCCTCACAGAGGCCCTAAGAACCTGCTGAGTCCAGGACTTCTAATCAAAGCCAACCACACCCCTGGCATTGTTGGATAATATTACAAATTAGGCAGGCTGTTCCTGTTTTGATGTGGTGTCACAGCAGGGAGCAGCTAAATAAAACCGAAAAGCTGGCAAGAACCTCTCAGATCAGCGTTGGGAGGAATTGCAGCTCGCTGCTTGTCTGAGGGATCCCTTCTGTTCTTGAGAGGAGGAAAGCTTGCTGGAGGCTGTAGGGCTTTCTCTTTGGATGGCCAACTGGTGCTGATGATCTTACACTGTTGAGTGTTGGGATTCAGGGAGACGGAGCTGGGGAGAGCTTCCCCAGCAGCTGGCTGGCACATAGCAGGTGCTTCCTGCCTTACCCATCCCTCCCCTGGGTAAAGGGGGAGGATGGATCTCTGGTGAAGGTGCAACTCTTGATGTTTGAAGACCACTAGTGGTGGCATCACTGCAGAGCTTGTTCAGAGTACGCAAACTTGGGGCTGATGCTGTAGTTATAGTAGGTCAAGCTGTCAGCTGTGGCACCAGTATCCCATAAGAGCATCAGTTCAAAGTCTGGCTGCTCCACTCCTGATCCAGCTCCCTGATAAGGTGAAGATCAGTGGAATTTGACTCAAGTGTTGTGGCCATTGTGGGAGACGTAGATGGAATTCCAGGCTCCTGGCTTCAGCCCCAGCCATCAAAGGAACATGTGGATGGAGAATCTCTTTCTCCTTTGTCTCTTCCTGTCTCTGTCACTCTGCTTTTCAAATACATGTTCAGAGGGTCTTTAGAAGTGTGCAGCCTGCACACCTATGCCCAGCAGGGTCCTCAGTGGCCTGTGGTAGGGAGGGAGTAGAGACGGGTGTCTTTGTGAACTTCCTACATTTAACTCCTTGAGCTAATAAGTGCAAGAAGAATAAATTTGGTTTTCAACCCTGTTGATTTGGAAATTACCTAAATAGACTTTACTCAGCTCACTTGTGAAATAGGAGTTGTTCATAGCAGTGAGGTGAAAGTTCATTTGTCAGAGATCCTGCTATGTTATTTTGGTGTGGATTCATGCACAAAGGTCAGAGACCTGCTGGGTGAACTCTTGTCTTGTTCCCATAATGCTCAACTCAGCTGACAGGCCCACAGATATGTGCACTTCTCCTCTGAAATTCTCTAAAGCAAGAATCTATTTAGGAAGGTTTCCAAGATGAATTTTAAAGATCCTGTTCCGACGAATCTACAAGAGAAATTCATATGGTAGCCCTGATCTAGAGGCATCATAATGCTGGCCCTTAACAAGTGTGGGGCTGACTCAGTTTCTTTCTAAGCTGTGTGTGATGATCATATGCTGGAGCTGAATCCATGGAGGGCTAGTGCAAACCCATGTTGGGGAAGTGAAACATGTTTGTGTGTTCCCCCTTGAGCCCCAAAAATTGGATTCCTGGTCATTGTACTTTTCCTTCTTAGAACTAAACTGATAATTCTAGGTAATGAGAGGCAGACCTTTGGCCTTCTAGGACAGTGGATTAGCAATGGACTTGAGTCTCTAGACATTCAACCTTTTGTTTGCAAAGCTGGAGGCACAGATGTTCTTTAGAAGAAGTGCAGGCAAGGCGGTCCCATGCCCAAGAGGCTTCAACTGTGGGATCCCACAG